CATATGCTTATTTTGTTTAAATAATAGATTTTTCTTCATGCACCTCCTATCATCAATCTTCGGCCAACTGTTTTCATGGATTCTAAAGTTTTTTAAAGAACGGACAGTTCTAACTTTACATTATTTTTCACCCACAATGCGTCCCAGTCAATTGACGTAGTTTGAGTCGAAAAAGTTTAGACAAATTAAATGGTAGATCTTCGAGTGGGGCTTTCCTAAACATCTCTCCCTCTTCCGTATATATTCACATTTTTGGGATATTTTATGACGTTCTTTGAATAATGTCTATTTCCCTCAAAGCTTTTTAGATTTTGATACATCGGCTTCTTCCGTCTGTTTTGACTATTATTAGGCTATTGGTTTCTTAGTCCAATAGAAAGATTTTACCAGCTGGTATTTCCTGTTTGCTTGACCTTTTGTTTACATCCATGTGTTATTGGTGCCTAAATTTTGAAGTATATTTATATTTCCTAAAAAGTAAGTCATATCTCGGAAACTGGCTGGATTTTTCAGCCATTACATCCAAGTTCGATGAAAGTACAAAAGAAAGACTAAAAGTTTTGTTAAATGGAAATTGCAGAAAGGGCGAAAATGCATGTCATGCTAAATGTGTAACCGTTTCCATTCAGGTAAGGGGACAAATAAGACAACACAAAGGCAACAACCTTTAAAAGCGCGTTTTTGAAATATTTTTCAAGAATTCGTGTAGTCTGCATACAGTTAACGGCCGAGTGGGCAATGAGTGAAGAAAGTGTTGCAAGTATCCTGTGCAAATTTTTCAGTTTTATTCATTGCTTAAGGTCTGTCTGATCCGTTCTAAGACGATTTTGTGTGTCTCAATCAGGTCACTTGGTGGCAGACTGTTATGTAAATAGCAGACAGGATTATACCTAGCAGCTTCAAGAGTAAACACATCCCTTTTTGTATTACAGTTTTTTTTTTCATAAAATTCTTGTGTCTTCGGGTGTGGATCACTTTAAAAAAGTCTCAAGTTGTTCCTAAAATGTCAGTGAATACTTCGAGTTTTCCAGTGTTCAAAAATGACTGTCTGAAAAGATGGTTTCGTTAGCTTATGACAACCACATCTTTCAAAATAAGATAGTTCTTGAATGTATGTACTTGTGTAGTGAGTTCTACAGTTAACGACTTTGATCACTTTTTGAGGCCCACCAGAAAATGAACATCCCCAACCAAAACCTGCTATGAGTATATTCTTGAACAAATAACAGAAAAAAAGTGCCTGGTAATGCACTTTGCAAATATTTATCGACGCCTCCTATGTTAAAGAAACAAAGGCGGGAGTAGAATGGAGTGGATATCGACCATTTTCCCCGCAAACAGAAAAACTCCCTCCCTTTCCATTTTGTAGTCGCCTCTACCCTCGTTGCTTTACTGTAGGCCTCCCGCTATTTTATACATACGCTTAAAGGGACGCTCTTAATTAAAAATCTGTTGAATAACTCATGCGGTACTCTTGTTCTCTGAATTATGTCAGTAAAAGTAAGCCTCACTAACGTCATATGCACGAACAACTAGACGACAAGTTCTTAATTCTAGGAAATCTACATATGCCTAGGACTTGCACCCATATTTTCCTGATTTTTGTTTCAGGCAGATTTTAAAATCATATTTTAATGAGGTCTCGTTTTATATGGGAATGGTGGAGTCAGTAGTATCTTGCGTTCCTTGACTTACATGGACAAAAAATGAAGTTTTTTGCAAAAGTTTCTTTTGACGAACGATTGTTCCTTTCATTGATGCCTTCTACAAAAGCAGCACGTGTAAACACACACACACACGTAGTCTCATATAGGCATAAGGAACTGCTTAAATCTAAAGAAAAAGTCTCGTCTTCGGTCGCGTAATTTTTATCTTAAATAAAGTTATCTGGTAATATATTGTGCTTACAGAAAAAGCGTTGTACACTAAACTGATTAAAAAAAGTGTGGATAAAATGTGTAGGTTTTGGTCCTCGTGTCTCATCAACGTGGCGACCTACTGTAGGTCTTCAAGTTATTATGTACTAGTTTTTTTAAACGTCAGTATGTACCGTTAGGGTAATAATTCCTGCCAATTTTCGCGCAATAACCTCCCCATTTAATTATTTTAATCTATAGGATTCGTAATATTCGCAATATTATTCATGACTCTATTGACAGTTACTACATGCAATGTTTCAATCACGTTTGCTTCCCATCTGAGAGTTACTTTTCAATTTACCTTGCTTTTGCAACCAAACTAGGAGGTTTTGGTGATTATTTAGGTATGTTCTCTCACTTCGCCTTCGTTCACCCGTCCCACACACTATATCTTTCAATGGCATGATTGCATGCTGCATTTTTTGCCAATTCCCATTTGCATGTCGCTTGTTCTTGTAAGGACATCCACTAGAAATGATTCAGCTGCTTGCATTTTGACGAGTGAAAGGGTTAGTACAAGCGGGATTCCCGTCGTTGCAACTCAAACCTTGGGAGTAAATTCATGCCACAGCGTAGTTCGTGCTCAGCATGTCACATATTGCCTTAAAGTACGCTCTGTGGTATTTTATTTTGTGGTAAATTTGTCAGACCTCAGCCCTCGAAGTCCTGGTGGTAACCTTGCCATTGCTGGTTCGTGGTCGCTTATTCACCAAACTCGAAAATCGTATTACACGGCTATTTTTTACCGAAAGGGCTCAACTGTGCCTCACCTATGGACGCGCCGCATTACCCCACTGTCGAACACTCGACCTGCCTCCGCTAAGAAGCTCGCCCCCCGTCTCTGTCCGCCTTCCTGTGTACTTCAGATTATGCAGACGCGACTTTGTTTTCATTGTCCTTAGGCGCTGAATTACTTCGGCTAAGTTGCAATTCAAGTTTGCGTGAACTTGTCAGTAACCCGTGACCCCAGCTAGTCGGCGCCTTCCGCACTATTTCACGCCGGTCGCAATCGAGAGTGTGACCTTCTCAGGGTGTCGGTTCTCACTAAGGACTGGAATGTTGGTCAAGGTGGATGGCACATCTGTGTACTTTGATGCAAAAGGTTTTTTTGTTGATTCTCACGCTTAGTGCTGCCGTGCTTAGTTCTTCCCGAGAAGTTTCTTTTTAAAGGAGCATTGAAAAAAATCATCATCGTCTTTGCGCGCGTGAGACGCTTTCACTCGACTACGAAGTAGTTAATCGCATTTTGCACAGAATCAGGCGACTCTACGGTATCACCAAAGATCTAACAGAAAGCAGTACATACAACAGTTAAGGCATTACCTCAAGACTTGTTTTTGCCAGTAGCCTGCTATTCACTCATTGCGGGTGAATCCCATTTTCTCGGATATCAACAGTGTGCGAAGGTAGAGCTCCAGATCGATTTAGTTTCACCCTTACTTAACCAGGCCGGTACGTGTTCACGTACTCTCTCTTCCAAATTGCCCTGTCGCGCAAACTTATTGCAAAAATGCTGCCGCTACCGTACTGTAACTTAGAACGTTGTTGGTTTGAAGAAAGATTGTAGCAGACTTCTGTAAACTGAGCTGAGGAATGCGATGACCACTGTCGACCCAAGATAATTCACTTTATGCTTAACGTCAACCGCAAACCAATTGCTAGTTCTTAGCAGTCGCCTGTGTAGGCCTCAAGTAATACTCCACAGATGTTTATCCGTGCTTGGGAGTGCCCATTAGTTAGTTCACTTACGTCTTCTCCGGACGTTCGCTTTGAACTAAGCTTACGCTTCGGGCCTCGAGCGAAGCTCCTTCGAATCCGCGGCAGGTAGCTATTTCTGCTGGAGTCCGTTTTCAAGGATCGCATGGTCGAGAAGCAGCATCATTTACACTTTATCCACGTGACCCTTCCGACAAATAGGTATCGTTGGTTAGGCAAAGGCCACTGCTTAATGTTGCGCTCGTTGCTGCTACATTTAGTCGTTTCACGAGGCTTTTGCTGCCATTGATTGTTAAAAGCCGTTATTCCGAAAATTAATATAGTTCTATTTTAAAGGGGCTGTTCAGATCTCATGCTTCTTTTTTTTTAATGTGACCTGTTTTATTACATGCTGATAACGTATCCAAACTCCCTCTCAGGCGTGTATTCTAAAACGCAGTTTTGATATGACCTTTTTATTCCTGAACTTGCGAACTTCTCTTATGGGGTGGCTTTACGAATCATCCCTGGCCTATATGACACTCACAGTCCTTGGGATCAACGTCAAGCTT